TGTACTTTTACTCAAGTAATATTTTTAGAGAAGACTTTAACTTTTACCAAAGTATTTTATGATAAGATACTTGTACTTTTACTCAAGTAATATTTTTAGAGAAGACTTTAACTTTTACCAAAGTATTTTATGATAAGATACTTGTACTTTTACTCAAGTATCACTTTGAGGTACTTTATACAACACTGGTTTTTGCATACTTTGCATTTTAGCCATTATATCAGTCAGATCATTCAGGAGATGGATGCTAAGACTTGTTTTCTGTACATTTGATACTTTTTCAAAGTTTTTATATATTTACAAATACTGTATTTCCCACATACTTAAAGATACATTAAGTTCTCTTAAAAATATTTCCCTGGAACCTAATTAAAGTTAGCTACTTTTAGTTTTGAGCTAGCCTTTGCTATTTTTAGCTACTGTTCAAATATACACACTATTTCTGCTTTTAGCTTTTAGTGTTTCTCTTAGCTTTATTAAATCAGTTTGAGCTTCAGCATTTAGTCAATCATTACTCAGAGCTGATGCTGCATTTTTACAGAAAATGTAGTATCTCTATTAATTTAATTTTAGCAGTTTTACCTTCAGACGCTCTGATTATTTTGTAACCAGACACACAAATAAAATGCTAGAAAAAGAGTAACAGGACAAAACTCATTCAGATTTCTGCTGGAGCTGAGAGTCTGAGACATTAAAGGAACAACCAGAAAGTCAGGAAGCTGCGCTGCAGAATGTAGCCCGTCTTCATTTTCCCCTTTGCATTCTGTAAGGGTGTTACAGTAAGAATGTTTTCTGAGATTGACTATGACGTAACAAAATGTTCCATTAACTTAAAAAAAATCCCACGAGAGACTCAGAGACTGGGAAACAAACCACCGAAGTATCACAACGCGACTCAAAGCCAATTAATAAGACATGTCCATTAACTCTGAGGGACATGTGAGATGTCTTCTTCTGGCTGACAGAGTGAGACAGATTCTTTTTTATCTCCCAATGACCAACACAGCTGTTCTGACGAGGAGGCCCGGATCACACGGCCTKTTTATTTGTCAAAGGAAACTCTGGGTAGTTCATGTTGTGTAAAAATAGGAAGTGAGTCAGGACTAAACAATTAACACAGGAGCAAAACAGGAAGTTTAGAGGAAGCGTAGGTGTAATAAGAGGGGGGAGGGGGAGGTAATCTGGATAAACAGAAGAAAAAGAGCTGACAAGTTTGGTTTCTGTGAAGAAGAAAACTATCCTTCTGGTGCTCTGATCCCACGCTGTTGATTGTGGGACTTTTTGTGGTTTCAGCTGACTTCATGCTGTTTATGTCTTGACTGAGTTCTGTTGTATTTATAGTATTCACCATTAGGGTTGGGCATAATCGTATCGTGTGCAATTYATCGTCAGAAAAACATTAATCRATTYTTTTTTTGGCACTTGACGATTAGTAGGATTAAGATACCCTTAATTTTAATATTAAGATACCCTTAAAAGATACCCTTAATTTAGTGGAAGCTAATTGCTAAGATGACTGTCTCAGTCTGCCACATGTCTTTGTCTCCTTGTAGGTGAAGACTGGTGGGACTGACACAAACCTGCTGTTAGCGGATTTAAAGTTGGTATCCTAATTTAGCAGATGCTAGCTAGTCCGGTTTTCAAATTTAGTGAAAAAGTGAATCCGTTAAACAAACAAAAAAATAGTTCTATTAGCCATGCCCAACACTGATATTTAGTAGTATTTTACACAAGAAAGGTTATAACTCATTGAATTGAGCACATTAGAGCTAAAACGTGCTGTGATAGTAGCTGAAAGTGATCCTTATGTCTCACATGAAATTATGCAAATTTGAACCAAAATGGCTACAACTTTCTCATTAAAATATGGTTTTAGTTTCAAACTCTGGCCTAAAAGATGGCGTGAGTTTTGCGTTCCCTTGAGGCACAGTAGGCCTTGAATCAATTATCTTTAGATTGATTTGAACTTGCTCTGTTACAGAACCACCCTCAATGTTCTCTCCTTTTGTTTCAATGACCAAATGCATCACATGTCATCACCGAGCTGTCAGTTTTGGTTCTGAGCTGCTGTTTGTTTGCAGTCGTCCTGGTATGAGCTGAGCTGTGCTGGAATGCGACCCACAGGGCAGACAGGAGAAACCAGTTTGCTGCTAGTGTGTGTGTGTGTGTGTGTGTGTTTTATCCTCACCCCCTGAGTCTGTTTCAGCTGTGTTATCTGTGTAAAGTGACTTCTCAGCGTTTCTCCAAACAGCCACAGGACCGTGGCACATGATTGTGTGCACGTAAACAGACCCATTTGTGCTGCCAAATCTCATAGAGAGACAAATAAACCCTAAGAATGCTTAGGTTTGGGGAAATATGTTGGCTTAGAGTTGCAGATTGTATTATCAATGTGATACTTCAGCCATAAAAGATGGTTAAAGTCATGATAGAGTGGACAATGTTTAAATATTCTGGTCTGTTTAGGTTGTTTAGATTAACTTAAATGACCTCAAACATCCTCACTCGTACAGCCAGCTAAACCGAGATAAAAATCAAACAGCTGCTAAGCTATCAGCTGATAGGCCAGAGGGTAAAAAAGCTGTAAAACATTTGAACATATACACATTTCTAAAATTGGGGGAAAAAATGACACATTTCTAAAGAACTAACATCAGGATATTGAATATAATATAAAAAAATGCACTAAAACTTTAGCACTCAAGTAAAACATCCTTTATCCTCTATCCTAAACATCAAATTCTGTGTTTTTCTCATTCATATTCGAACATACGTATTAGGAAAACATGCAGTGACTCATTGATGCTCAGCTGTTTGCCTTCCTTTAAAATGTCCCATCTTTATAAAGATTAAGCAACTGTGTGTGTTTGTGTGTTTACCAGCCAACAGCAAGAGTGTGAACTGGCAGCTCGGCCGAGACGGAGACGTGTTGGTCATTGTGATCGGGGAGGTGGACGAATTCAAATCCAAATTCATCTGCATTGCTGAGGAGAGGAAGTCATCAGTCCTGCAGAACAACTGGTAAAATAAATAAATA